GAGAGAGAGAGAGAGAGAGAGAGAGAGAGAGAGAGAGAGAGAGAGAGAGAGAGAGAGAGAGAGAGAGAGAGATCATATCAACATTCAAATACCGAAGGAGATATCGCATATTAACTCGCCATGCAAGCCAATCAATGCAAAACAAAAGACAAAGCAACAAAGAGGCAACTCTTAGACGAATGGCCGACCAACAATCAAACCAGACTCCATCATACTGATAGTATCTGATACCGATAAAAGAGAGAATTGCCCCCCCTCCGCAACCCATAAACAACCTTCTTCCCACTATTTTTTCCTACTTGCACAGTTGTCACCCCCCCCAGAGTCCAAAATAGCAAAAAACCATGCTCGCAAAGCCTTGATGGCAGGGGCAGCGGGACCCACACAGACCCCAAACAGTGGGTTCTTGCTACAAATAAGCTAGGAATGATTCATAACCCAAGTCCCTGTGCACATATGCACTACGTCTGTGACCACCCAAGACACTCCCTCACTAGGAACACCAACAGATTCAGCGTCGTGAAGATATATTATATTAGCCAGGTGGCCACTTCATCATCCGGCCGCCAATGATGTGAATGTGCAAATGGTACACTGATTGACCTGCAAACACCACAGAAAAAGAGACCATGAAACAACGAAAGGAGAAGCACAGGAGTGAGTGAAGCTGTTCTGATCAGTGTTTACAGCTCCTAAACCCAAATCAAACGAAGGTGAAAAAATTATCATCAACATTTTTAAATCCCTGCCTCTCATGTCATGTACCCAGCACACACACACACACACACACACACACACACACACACACACACACACACACACATGCATGTATGCGTGTATGCATAATAACCTCGTTTGAGAATTGTTCTTTTTTGTTTGTTTTGGGGTCCTGATGTGCATAATGTCATTGCCAGACAGAAACAGAGAGTCACCACACACATCAAATCTATGCTAATATACTCAGTTATTACCCCCCCCCAACAGAAACCTCCCAGCGACGACCACTTCTCCGCTCCCCCTTCGTCTCCCAATTCAGGTAAATCTCTCCAATCTTAACGCATACACCTTAAATCATTAGGGACCGATAGCTACAGCAAAAAGTGCAGAGATGTACTTGCCGTGCTTCATTGTGCTGTAATACCTGACATGCAGTAAACATGCACATGACAGTGCAAAAAAAAAAAAACATCTCCTCGGAGGTGACGATCAGCCTGAAGAAAACAACACCCATCGACAACGACGACAACCAATTTGCAGCACTGTCTTACGAAACCGACTTCGACTTCAAATCCGAAGAGTAGATGGGCGAGGGTCAGCGACCTTTCGGATCGATTGCTGGACTCTCCTGACCAAGTTCATGTTACTCTAAGCTATCAGCACTACGCATCAACTCGCTCTCAGACTTTCAGAGCTTTGCAGGTGCTCACAAGAGATCACTTTTTCGAAGTAATGACGCGCCGCCGCGGCCTTGGTATCATCATTGTCCTGATTAGAAAGTTAGAAACACATGTGATGTTTCCACAAATGGATAAAAAAGTAGCTAGGTTACTCTTTGCCTTTGGGAAAAGAAGATTGTCCGCCATGTTCAGACCATGCTAATTGAAAGGGTCTTCACTCAGTTCGTACGGCAAGTGCATGTCCCAGGGTTCGATACCTAGCCCTATCCCATACCCTTGTACAGCCACCGACGCCATACATGCCTCGAACCCGCAACCTGTACCTTAAAACGTAGTAGGTCTGTGTGTTATGTACTTAGTTAGGGTCGTGTGGACTTGGATCCTAACGTCTTTTCTTTTCATTCAACTTGATTATCTCGATTGGCATTTAAAAATGATCGAAGTAGAGAGCACATTTAGAAAGCTGCACACACACACTTTATTTATCCTGCAGGCCGCCGCAGACTCGCCGAGTCTAACTGTGTCCACCGACTCCACCCCCTTTATTTTGGTTTTTGTTGTTATTTTTTTTGTTGTTATTGTTGCTTTTGTTTCCCCAAAATGGTCCAATTGTAGTTCCATGGGAAACAAATCACTGGCTACAGTGGTTAGTTTTTTTTTTTAAGTGAAGGAGAGGGGGGGGGGGGGGGAAGGCAAAAAAGAAAAAACACTGGGTGTCAAAGTCTGCTCTATTTAGACGGGGCAGTCCGGTTTTGGGGTGGCAATGCATGGAGGCATGCATTAATAATTTAATAAAGACCCTTGGGATCCCCAAAAGACAGAAAAGCTCATAGAGTAGGAGCACTTCCACAGCAGCAGAACACCAAACATCTGCATTTACGGCGAATTTTACGGCTTTCTCCAACATCAAAGAAATAAAAAAGAATAAAAAAGAGGAGGAAAAGCAAACGTGTACAATGAACATCAACATGGTCCATTCGTCCGAACAGAAAACAACTCAGAAAGGACAAATTTCAACATACATCCTTGTGCGCCGTCATTGATGACAATTCGGAATCCCTCATCAAGCCCTTGCTGTTTCGCAACAAGCTGTGCAACATAGAGCAGATGACCCAGAATGTCCTTATGCCGCTCCTCCGCCTGCTTGCCAGCCGCGGACATCACGGTTCCAAAAGCACAAGATTGCAACAGGAAACAATACACACAGCAAGTGAGCGAGAGGCGAAATTCCAATCAGCTTCAACTTCCCTTCAAGCCTCCAACTTCCTATTTCAAGGGAGAAGCTCTCACCTATATCACATAAATTCAGGCCACTGCCATGTTCGTGCTCTTTAGAGCTTGAGCCGGGGCATAGCTACAATCTCATACACTGCATTTTACGCACATTATGGTCTCGCGCGCAACAGCATGCTACGCGAGAGTTGCCCTCAGAAAAAAAGCTATTAAATAGTTCGTAGTACTTTGTACAGCACTCTGCACACACGCTTCCACACGTGCCAGTTGGTCAAACCACAATCGTTATCGCCACAATTATTGAACGGTTCATCTTTATCATCACCACCACCAATTTTCATTTTTCACCCTTGTCGTCATTGTCCTTATCTTCATCATCATCATCATCATCATCATCATCATTATCATCATCATCATCATCATCGTAAGCATCATAAACAAAACTTATTAGTCAAACAGATGCCTGTGGTATCCACTGTCCATGTGCATGAACGAATAACGGTTCAATAACCCCTAAGTTCATTAACTACACCCATCCTCCCCCTTCTCCCTCCCTATCGTCCCCCTGCCCCACCATACCTGAGGGTCCCAGTGGCCTCCCCAAGAAACCAAATTTGGGTGCCCAATCCGAGCAGGTCACTACGCACCCAACCTGTTTTCCCGCTGTTGGGCAAACAGGATAAAAATACGGCCCGACGACGGCCGCCGTTGACGAATCTTATCGGCGGCCTCCTCAGGAATCGGGGCCCTGACGGCGGCCCATCTGAGAAAAGCCTGTTGAGGTGGTTTAATGGAAGTCAGCCTCCGTAATACTGCCGGCATAACTCACAAGCGCCCTGGTAACCGGACGACACGAGCCAAAGGTAATACTGCAGATATCTTTGCCAGTAAACAGGAGGGGGGGTCTAGGTATCTGCATATGCATATACCTTTTCCGAAGCGAACAGATGCCCCCCCCCTGCGCGTTTGGAGCACGCCCTGCTGCATAGAACTTCACAATTACGTAAGCAAAAATCTTGCAGGCTTTTCCCAACAGGTGGTATCAGGGGAGGGCTTCCCCCCACCTACTGAAAGGTTTAAACCTCTCCTGATTAACTGTCTCATCAAGGAAGGACTACTTCTGTAAACGACTCTCCACAATACAAAACCCTCACCTCAACAACTTCAAGACCACATATTCACGATCCAAAAAATTTCTGCAAGCCTATACGTCGCATACATCCCTGGAAGTTTCAGACATCCATCCAACATGCACGCATCATTTTTTCACAGAGGATACATGCACGCATCATTTTTTCAGAGACGAGACCTGCATGCATCATTTTCTCACAGACGAGATGATGCGAGGTGATGCACACAGGCTGCACCCAGTATCAAGTAAACACAGCTCTGATTTGAAAGCCACTTCTGCATCCCGCCGCTGCAGGCAACTGTGGCCTGGCTGCCTCTGGGTTGACTGACCGAAAATGAAAAACGAAATGAGATCACAAGGACCAGAAATTCCAGAATAGACTTCTCTCTCCAACGAGAGGAAACTGACCTTAGATAGCTGAGTTAGTCCATCTCGCTCCTTTGGGATAAGAACTATGTGCACGGGGGCTTGGGGGCTGATGTCCTTGAAAGCCAAACACTGGAGACAGAGCAACCAACACCACCACACACGGTTCAGCGTGTCACATGATTACCAATCAAACCCTGACGTCATACCTGCTCCTGAATATGATTACACATTGAGCATGATGCCTCATGAAATGAACATCATGTCCCATGAAATGAACATGATGCCTCATGAAATGGTAGTACGGTGTGATGGATGTGCACGATATTGTCAAAACCTCCATGCATGCATTGTCGAGAAATCACAAAACCAACCGCCTTCTCCACCACACGAAAGGAGGCAGTCACAGACGAAGTAAGTGCAGAGGGTTCCCTCATCTGTATGGTTGCATCTACACGCTCGTCCAATTGATGCATCCACTTGCACACACACACACACACACACACACACACACACACACCAAAAAACAAAACCCTAGACGCTCTCCCCTCACGCAAACAGAAGACAGGGTCGACAGTGCAGGCCAAGGGTGAAGCGCAACCATGAGACCTTCAATACAGCAGAAGAAGTCGACATGTGAGTGTTGGAATGTATCGAGTGCTGGGATGTGTCCTTACATGTGCCTGAGTACGTTGGATGGCGCCGCAAAAAGACAACAGAGAAAGAGAAACAAAATATACTTGGACTGCAAAGAAACAAACAAACAAAAAAAAAACAGTGCGAAGGGAGGAGGAGGAGCACAGGGCACACTGCTAGAATATAACCACCACCAATGATATCGTTGCATCCTGGTTTTAGTAGGGCACATACGGCACACACCTTGTCATCCTCATATACGCTTGTGCAGGGAATTTCCTTCTTCACAATCTTGTCAAAACTGAACACAACCATCAGAGCCACCCATGCAAAGACTCAGTCAGCAAACCATTCCCAAAAAAAGCGACGACTGCCATACTGCATAATAGCAATCATAGCGACAACATCCGCACTGTTTGCGCAAGTGAATGCATAAAAACTTCAAAAGCAAAAAGAACTCCACAAGGCACCAACGCCAACGGCCAAACCTTCTTTCGGTTTGACTTGACTTCCTCTCACCAATTTCCCTGTGTACCGTGTCAAGTCAACACTCCCCCATTGCTTCCGCAGCATAAGCTAAAAATAGCAATGTGGTACATCAGAACAACGTACACAATAATTTTACGAGGGCTACCCTGAACAGTGACTACTATATGATATGATATCATCGCCCCATAGAAATCCTTCAACGCATTACCTATGGATGTGTACATCCACAGTGGAATAATGGGGCCCCAATGTGCTGAATTCCAAAGCACAACACTCAGTCATGTCTTCCAGGAAAAACGGGAACGGGATTTGAGCCCGTGACTTCTGGCACGACAGACCACTCACAGGTGCATCACTCCCAAAACTGAATTCCAAAGCAGAAGGCACGCATTCGCATTCATTATGCTCTCATCCAGTTTGCCCGCACGACAAATGTATGTCGACTACCTCATTTACATATCGTGAATACCGGTTAGGCCTTATGGACTAACCCTACTGGTAGCCAGCAGCTGTTGGAGACTTTGCCTTGCAATTCTACACGACATGTATTTCCCAAATTCTGATAATCCACTCCAGAAAAAAGGTCGATACAAATGAGTTAATTTGAAAAAGTCTGAAAAAAAAAAAAAACTGATTTTCCGTCCCCCGGCATCCAGGTCTTGTCGCTAGCTGTCTGGGTACTGTCAAATCGGTGGAACATTCAGAAAGAGTTCACCTAAAAGAGTCATTTTGACGACCCTCTATTGGCAAGAGCCCTTGTGCAAGCGCCTGTCCCGGTGGAAGTAAGAGAACCACCGGAATCGAGGCTTTGCCTGATGGGCTGCTCCATCTATTGGTGGGGAGTGCCACCTGCCGGAAACCGGGTCCAGCGTCCCTCTGACACATCATCTCTATGACATCTTCTTCCTTTCCCCGGGGGGGTGAACTCCATCTGGTCGCCCGCAACGAAGTTGACTTGGCGAACTGAAACATCACCTCCACAAACATCCAGGTCTCCTCGCAGTTCATTCAAACTGCACAACAAGCCAGAGGACTTTTGATTACGTGCAATGCACCCAGTCACTTTCCTATAATAGTTGTGACCTACTATATTTCTTCTATCTTTAGAAAATTTACCGTTCTGCTATTTTCTAAGTAGACGGAACACAATTTTGTCTTAAACCAATAGTACTTTTGTCGGTTCGAAAATACTGGGCCTCCGACCTTTCAGGCGGCCGAAACGAAACGACGGCCGCCGATCAGATTTATCAACGGCAGCCGTTGTACGGCCCGGCCTCCCAAAAGTTCGGGAGCTGGCAAGACTTGTTGAAACTGGACGCCGAAGGTACTAGTGGTTTAACATGAGGATTACACGCCGGGCAAACAGACTTACATGGTTGGGGCTCCTGTATCTTTCAATGCCACATTTGTTGCTGCTGCTGCTTCCTCTGAATTCCCCATTGCCACTGTGAACCTGCAGAAAATAAGACAAATCAGGAATGAAGTTCATGCTTTCTGACGATTCACTTTTGGGAAGAGAGACACAGTTTACCTATTATCAATACTGAAGAAGTGTCATCCTTTCAGACAACTTGTTGCTTGCCTTGACAGCTGTCGAACGGGATTTGCTACAGGGATTTGCTACAGGGATTTGCTACAGGGAGTGCTACAGGGATTGCTACAGGGATTTGCTACAACTCTGCATATCCTAGGTCAATTCCCGCGTATTCAGATAGGACTGGCAAAGCATCGAAGTTGAGTGTTGGCTGCAGTCCAGAAGAGGAATATGGTGGGGGACGTTACCTCCTGCTTCCTCTGATTTGGCTGTTAGCAGGAGAAGGCCTTTGCACAACGTGCACAGGACCCTTGCTTCCTTGAAGAACTTGTGCGTGGTGCTTCAGTCTACCTGCTGATGCCAACAGATTTGAGCCTGCACACACAATTAACAAGTCAGAAACACTTTCTGCACACCACACATTTGAAACCTCGAGGGACCCACCACCTTGTAAACAGAATCAACATCGCAATCAATCTACAAATTGATGCGACTGCAAAACGTACACCGTCAGGAGGCACAGCACAGGGTGCCTTGTCTGTCTGTCTGTCTGTCTTTCTGTCTGTCTCTGTCTCTCTCTGTCTTGTCTTGTCTTGTCTTGTCTTGTCTGTCTGTCTGTCTGTCTGTCTGTCTGTCTGTCTGTCTGTCTGTCTGTCTCTCTCTCTCTCTCTCTCTCTC